CGACGTGGCACTCGTCCAACACCACCCGGTCCAACTGCTGCCGCCGCTGCAACCGCCCGACGAAATCCCGGAATCCCTGCGTGACGGCCGACTCGGGCGTCACGAACACCACCGTTGCTGCGGCCGTGTTGGCCCGCCCGCCGCCGCGCCACGTTGTCGACGCCAACCCCGACCTCGAACACCGCGCGTCCATGTCGGTGCGCAACGCCACCAACGGCGTCACGACGATCGTCACCCCGTCCGGTGCGCAATACGCCGGCAACATGAACGACAAACTCTTGCCGCCGCCCGTGCCCGTCACCTGCACGATCGGGTCGTCCCCGCGCATGATCGACCGGATGACCCGCTCCTGCTGGCCGCGGAACGCCGCCCGCGGGTCCCCCATCATCTGCCGCAACTGCCCGCCGGCGTTGGCTAACTGCAACCGCGTGAACCGCCGCCGCCGCTGCCCTTCGAACTCCTCGTCCGCCGCCGTCGTCGCCGTCCGCCGCCGCTTGGTGGGTGCCCCGCCGCCCCGGTCCTCCGCCCCGAACCCCAACAACCGGTGCCACTGCCGGCTGACGGCCCGGAACCTGTCCCGCAACGCCGCCGTGCCGAACGGTGCCTCCTGGTACAACCGCCCGTATATCATCCCCGCCACGTGCGTGCCGTGCCCGGCCTGCAAATCCAATGCGCTGTCCTCGACGCCTATGTCGTCGTCGTTGTCGTCGTTGTCGTTGTTTTTGTCGTCTGCCCGTCCGAACGCCTCGTTCAAATACCGGTTGGCGATGGCGACGGCCATGTGCCGCCACCCGCTGATGTTGATCTTGCTGCCGACCAACCGCTCGCTGTGCTGCTGCATGATCCGCCTTGCCTTGTCTGACGTCCACAACCGTTCGTCCGTCCACGGCGCCCGGCCGGGGGTGGCGTTGGCGCTCTCGTCTGTGATGGTGTTGTCACGGGCGTCGTCGTCCTCGGTGTTGTCACGGGCGTCGTTGTCCTTGGTGTTATTGCGGCGCTCGTCGCCCCTGGTGTTATCACGGCTCGCCTCGCCCGCCGCCCTGCCCCTTACAACCACGTCGTCCGCCCATAAAAATGCGCTCTTCCGGTCCGTCTGATGGATGATGCCTCCTACCTGCTGCCAAAACGGCAACACTAACCATAAATACCACACCAACAACTCGCCGACCTCGCGCGGCAAATACCGGTGTATCACCTTGGCCGTCCCCGTCTGGCGGTAATTCTTGTGGTACGACGTGACGAAACATATCATGCCGTCGTGTGCGAACACGTTCCTGACCCCGCCGTTGGCCGTGTTGCTGTGTCTGATGCCTGCTAACTCGGGCGCCCGCGCCGGCTGCCCTGCCACCATGTGCATCAACATCCACAACCGCTCCCGGAACGATTCCAACGCCTGTCTGTATGCCTGCACCGTCCTCTCGCGGTATGGGTGGTGGCTATCGCTGCGGTTGGACGTGACCTCCTCCGCCTGTCCTGCTGCTGCTGCTGCTGCTGCTGCCACTGCCGCCGCCGCCGCCCCTCGCGTTGGGTCTAACCACGCCCGCCGCCGTGCCTCCGACTCTGCGATGCGCCGTGCGATCCACCCCTTCCCCTTGCCCACCCACGCCTCGTTGCGGTCGTCGTGTAAAAACGAATACCCCGGCCGGTCCTGGCTGTGGTCGTCGTGCATGCTGTCCCACCTGATGGCGGGCAACGCTGCTGCTAACGCTGATCGGCCTCCGTACCCATCGCCGTGCCCGTCCCTGTCGGGATCATTATCCCTATCCCCATCCCCGTCCACCACCGCCAACTGCGCCAACAACGTCCGCGCCTCCTGCGCTACCCCGTGGAACATCTCGGCCAACTCGCACACCCGCACCCGCACCCGCCGGAACGATATCCGGTCGCCGCTCCAATCCACCATCCCCGGCGCCACCGTGTTAAACCGGATATGCATCCCGTACGTGCGCGCGTCGTAAATCCAATTCATCGCCCTGGGCTCGTCGTCCGGCCGCCCGGGCATCCGCGTCATGAACCGCCGCACCTTGTCGCGCACCAAATGGAACACGCTGCTGGCCTCTTCGTACGCCGCCTCGGCCCCTTTGGTCGCCGTCAACGCCACCACCTCGTCCTTCCGCTCCAACCACGCCTGGTACACGACGAACATCTTGGCCACCTTGATCACGGCTGAATAATTCGTCGTGTACTCCGTCGCCTGGTGCCACCCGCCGTCCTCGCGGATGCCCAACACCGCCAACGCGCCGATCATCGCGCTCTCCTTTTGGCTCTGCTTGTACGGGTCCTCGATGATGGCGATGATGGCGTCCAAACACATCCTCTCGACCTCCTCCGCCTGCGCGGCCTGCCTGCTGCCGACATCCGCCTCGACACGGCTGGTGAACGCATCCCACAACGACCCCTGACGCATGGTGAACCGATACGGCGGCCGCTCGCGCTCCGGCCACTCGTCCATGCGGAACCATATGCTCACCATCTTACGCCAAACCTCCTTGTACCGCTGCCACGTGTCGTCCTCCATGCGGTTGTCGAATGGCCGCACCGGCTTCTGGCCGATCTCCTTCCGCTCCGCCTCGAACAACACGTCGTGCCCGACCTTGTGCGGTGCTGCTGTTGCGCATGCCTTGTCGGCGACGCTGTTGAACACGGCCCATATGGCCTCTAACGTCTCCTCGCCATCCTCAATTGGTCGCGTGGCCTCCTGTAACTGCGTCTTGTTCAACCCTTCCAAATCCCTCGTCCACCCGACGCGGTACAACCACCCGTTCGGCTCCAACTTTTCGTCCACTGTACTGACCTCCTCGCGCGCGTCGGCCTCGAACCGCTTCTCTTGGTTCTCGTGCAACGTGACGAACCACGCCGTGTCGTCCGTCCCCGGCCCCGATGGCTCGCTTTGAACGGCCACCCCTAACCCCCGCCCGACCTCGAACCATCCGCTTGCGGCCCGTGTTAAAAAAAAACGCTGGCATGGCACGCCTGTTGTCCACGGCAAATCTCTGACTGCCGTGGCTTTCTTGCGCACATTGCCCCCCTTCTGCCAATCATTCGCCCACCGGTGTTCTGCCCGGCAATGCTCCTGCATGTTTCGCACGCGGCGGCACACATAACGGCATGCGTGGCAACGCAAACCGTCCGCCCGGGGCGGTGCGATATGGGCAACTGGCTCGACCGTGGGGTCTGGGTATTGAAACGACTGCAAATCGGCCTGGCTGCGGATGATGCCGGGAATATCGCCGACTAATCCGGCGACCTTGCTCCTGGCCTCGGTGGGGATTGACCGATGGTTATTCCGCAAATGCGCCGTGGCTTCGTTGGCTAATACGGCGTACTGACATAATGTGCATATCAAAATGGAATACTGCGTGTTGTGGACGAATGGCTCCATCTTTGGCATGTATTGGTTACTTTCTTCTATCTACTGTTTATGACTGGTTCCTCCTGTCCTCTCTTTATAAACTCACCTTCCTGCCCCTTAATTCCATATACTTTCTCCTTGATCTACTTTCCTCCCTGCCTACGTTCCATCGCTCGGTCGGGCTTTCTGGCCTGGCTGATGGTCCTGTTATATAATTGGCTGGTTAATGCGGGGATTCGGACGACATCACAAAAACATCTACTACCCTATTCACCTATTTCTGGACTCATATCACGGAATAAAACACTGAGAACTGGGTTCCTATAATTATACCGATTGTGGCTTTAATTGCATGCTACTTTTACCTATTTTACTACGGAAAATCTCAACGGCTTCCACCTTGCTGTGAACAACGGTTTCCGCCCTTGTCTCAACGGACCCACCTAATTCCATGGTGGGGCGTTCAATGGCTTCCGACGTCAGCCATCGTGGACGTGATGTTAGAACTGGGTTCCTATAATTATACCGATTGTGGCTTTAATTGCATGCTACTTTTACCTATTTTACTACGGAAAATCTCAACGGCTTCCACCTTGCTGTGAACAACGGTTTCCGCCCTTGTCTCAACGGACCCACCTAATTCCATGGTGGGGCGTTCAATGGCTTCCGACGTCAGCCATCGTGGACGTGATGTTAGCCATCGTGGACGTGATGTTAGCCATCGTGGACGTGATGTTAGAAAAACCGCTGGCACGGCACCCCTGTCGTCCACGGCAAATCCCTGACTGCGGTGGCTTTCTTGCGAACATCACCCCCCTTGTGCCAATCATTCTCCCATCTGTGTTCTACCCGACAATGCTCCTGCATATTTCGCACGCGGCGGCAAATATAACGGCACGCGTGGCAACGTAAACCGTCCGCCCGGGGTGGTGCAATATCAGCAATTGGCTCAACCGTGGGGTCTGGGTATTGGAACGACTGCAAATCGGCCTGGCTGCGGATGATGCTGGGAATGTTGCTGACCGATTTAGCCACTTTTCCCCTGGCCTTGGCGGTGATTGACCGATGGTGGTTCCGCAGATGTGCTGTGACTTCGTTCGCTACTACTGCATACTGACATGATGTGCATATCAGAATGGAATACTGCGCGTTGTGGACGAATGGCTCCATGTTTACCTATACGGATGGCTTGCTTTGGTCTACTACTATTAAATGATTCCTCCTGTCCTCTCTTTATAACCTTACCTTCCTGCCCCTTAATTCCGTATACTTTCTCCTTGATCTACTTTCCTCCCTGACTGCGTTCCATCAGTCGGTCGGGCTTTCTGGCCTGGCTGATATCCCTGTTATGTGATTGGCTAGTTAATGTGGGGTTTGGGACCGCATCACGAAAACATCAACTACGCTATTCATCGATTTCTAGACTCACCTTGCTGATTATCGAACTGAGAACTAGATGGTTATAATTGCCTTCATTCAAGCTTTCATTGCATCCTACTTTTGTGTATTTTACTGCGGGAAATCTCAACGGCTTCTTCACTACTGGAAAACAACGGCTTCTACCCCCTGTCTGCACGGACCCACTTATTTTTTGGTGAGGATTTCAACGGCTTCTACTTGAAGCCGTCGTTGCCAGTATGTTAGGATTTCAACGGCTTCTACTTGAAGCCGTCGTTGCCAGTATGTTAGACGTTGCTCGAGCCTGGTCCAGCACGCGGTCGACCGTCGCCCACATCGCCTGAAGCACGACCTCATCTTCATTGATGGGAGCTGTTGTGTTAAAGAGTGCGCTGGCACTGAGCCCTTTTAAGTGCACCGCCCATCCTACACGGGCCAGCCACGGGCTGGGCTCGAGTCTTTCGTTGGCGACGCGGATCAGCTCATCGTGACTCGTCTTCACACGTTCTGCTTGGACTTTCCGGAGATCTCGAACGCGGTCCACCGCCTGTTGAGCCGGGCTTCTACTCGGAGCGCCTTGCAGAGACTCGTCGGCTATCTGTCCCTGGGCCACCTCGAACCATCCGCTCGCGGCCCGTGTTAAGAAAAACCGCTGGCACGGCACCCCTGTTGTCCACGGTAAATCCCTGACTGCGGTGGCTTTCTTGCGAACATCACCCCCCTTGTGCCAATCATTCTCCCATCTGTGTTCTACCCGACAATGCTCCTGCATATTTCGCACGCGGCGGCAAATATAACGGCACGCGTGGCAACGTAAACCGTCCGCCCGGGGTGGTGCAATATCAGCAATTGGCTCAACCGTGGGGTCTGGGTATTGGAACGACTGCAAATCGGCCTGGCTGCGGATGATGCTGGGAATGTTGCTGACCGATTTAGCCACTTTTCCCCTGGCCTTGGCGGTGATTGACCGATGGTGGTTCCGCAGATGTGCTGTGACTTCGTTCGCTACTACTGCATACTGACATGATGTGCATATCAGAATGGAATACTGCGCGTTGTGGACGAATGGCTCCATGTTTACCTATACGGATGGCTTGCTTTGGTCTACTACTATTAAATGATTCCTCCTGTCCTCTCTTTATAACCTTACCTTCCTGCCCCTTAATTCCGTATACTTTCTCCTTGATCTACTTTCCTCCCTGACTGCGTTCCATCAGTCGGTCGGGCTTTCTGGCCTGGCTGATATCCCTGTTATGTGATTGGCTAGTTAATGTGGGGTTTGGGACCGCATCACGAAAACATCAACTACGCTATTCATCGATTTCTAGACTCACCTTGCTGATTATCGAACTGAGAACTAGATGGTTATAATTGCCTTCATTCAAGCTTTCATTGCATCCTACTTTTGTGTATTTTACTGCGGGAAATCTCAACGGCTTCTTCACTACTGGAAAACAACGGCTTCTACCCCCTGTCTGCACGGACCCACTTATTTTTTGGTGAGGATTTCAACGGCTTCTACTTGAAGCCGTCGTTGCCAGTATGTTAGGTTATATTCAGTTTAGCGCTTCTTATCTAGATCTTAAAAGAAGGATTATAGGGCGTCCTTAAATCCTTAAAAGCTACTATAGATATTATATATCTCTATAGAGCATTTATCTAAAGTTTTATACTTAAAGAACTCTTCTTAGATAGGTTTAAACTACTTAAGGGCTTATCTATAAAAATAAGTAGCTATATAGATAACTTTCTCTATCTAATTAGTAAAATTACTATAATAGAAGTTATAATAAGTTTTAATTTAGATTAAATATAGTTTAAGTTATCTAGAAGTGCTATTATAAGTAATAAGGATACTAAGCTTAAGTTTCTAGTATCCTCTAACAGAAGTAGTAATAATATTAATAGCAGCTTAAAAGGTATTAAGTTCTCTTTAGAGTTCCTAAATCTTCTTAAGGTTAATATCTTTATAGATACCTTTTTCTAGTTTCTTATAGGCTTCTCTAGCATTCTAAAGTTATTCGTTTAAGCTATTTATAGCTTACTTACTCTTATTAATAAAAGTCTATATTTCCTTAGTCTTAGCTTCTTACTTCTAAATAATATATTAAAGTTATTTATATCTTTCTTTAGTAAAAGAACTTTCTCTATTAGAGTTATATTTAAAGTCTAATATATTATAATCCTTAATATTAGTAAGTTCCTATACTAAGCTCTAAAGCTAGTTATATAAAGAAGATAAGGATCCTAAAGTAGGAGATTTAGTAGAAGCATAAGAGGATATCTTATCTATACTATTTAGTAAGTATTAATAGTTAATTTATTAAATAGGAGTAATTAAAGTATTATAGTTAGCTATCTAATAATAAGGTCTACTAATAGAAGCTAGGGATTAATATATTCTAATAGTATATTAAGTTATAGTTTAGGTTAAAAGTTATAAGCTATAGTAGATTAGGTCTTTAGAGGCTAAAGTAATTAGTTTTAGGCTTAATAAGTGATTTATAGTGAAGGTAAGCTGAAAGTATCCTAAGGATAAATACTAAATTAATTACTAAAGAGCTATAGAAGTCTAACCTTAAGCTAAGCTTAAGTTATACTATATATAAGTCCTAAATAGTGTTCTTTATCTACTTAGAGGTGATCACCTAAGTATATAAGGTGATTATAATTAGTTAGTAATACTAACTAATTACTAAGCGTCCTATCCTATACTCTACTAATTGTTTCCTTATCTTATTATTACGTAACTTATACTATAGTTCTTCTATACTGAGTAAGTTCCTGCTGTTCCTATAATCCTATAGTATAAATATCCTATCCTAGCCGCCTAACGCCTAAGTAGGTCGTTCAGCTGTTATCCTTATTTATAGGTCGTAATATAAGGGCTTATAGGTAGCTAGCTATCTCTTACTTCTAAATAAAAAAATACTAAACCTCCCTATTAATACTTTAGTTATAAAGCTTCTTAAGCGTATTATGTTTAGCTTATTATTTAGGGGGGCTTAGATTAAAGATAGGGTAGGTAATAATAGAAAAGTTATTATTATACTAATAAAAGTAGAGGTCCTTAATCTAAGGGAGATTAATATAGATATTTAAGCAGTTAAAGTTATAATATATCCTTATAATATTAATGCTAGCTTAATTTAGTTGCTATTAGTCTAAAGAGGGGGTGAATTATAACGTTAGAAATCTAAAATATTTATAGTTAGGTAAATTTCTAGGAGTCTTCTTATAAGTAGTTATATAAGTTAAAGTAATATAAGATATACTGAGAATAATTATAGTAGATAGGGTAAAGGTAATATTATTAGTTATAAAGGTAGCTTTATAAGAAGAGGATACTATAGTATAAAGTGTTAAGAAGCTTAATAAGGGAATTAAAGCTATTATAGCTACTAGAAGCTAAAGTAGTATATTAAGCATAAAGCTAAAGGATAAAGAGAGGGTAGGTATTATAATTAAGAAAGTAGGCTTATTATAGCTATAGAAAATAGTGTTATAATAGGGGAGGGGGGTAGTATTAGTTATTATTATATAAAAGAAAAAAAGGAGGAGAGGTTAAAGGTAATAAGTTATAAAAGAAGAAGAGAAATAAGAGAGAGGGGGAAGTTAAGAATATATACTTCTTAGTGAGATGCTTAAACTATAAGTAGTAAATAAGTCTATAAATAGTAGCTAACGCTAGCCTATATAATAAGTAATAAATAAGGTAAGTAACAGCTAAATATACCTACTTTATAAGGAAATTTAGGAAAAAGTAGTAAATATAATTACTATTCTATACTATAGAGAAGTTAGAAGAAAGAAGTAGAAGTAGTAAAAAGAAAGTATAAAGTAAGAAGTAGTTCTTAAATATTAAAAAGAGAGATAGAAAGTAAGTAAGGTAGAAAGAAGCTTAAGCTATTTAAGGAAGGAGTATAATAGAGGAGATCTTTCTATAAATTAATTTAAGGTAACCTATAAGTAGATAGTAAGCTATAAGTCTAAATAAAGGTGAAGTTAGATTAATATCTTATAGCTATAATAACTTAAAATAGAAGCTTAAGTATAGTAGTAGCTAGTAAGTTTATATCTAATAGCTATAATAGGGGCAGTCTAAGTTATATAGGTTAATATAGTAGGTAGTAGCTATAAGTAAGGGTAAAGCTATTATAGCTATAAAAGTAGAGGATAGAGGTAAAAAGAACACTTAAAGAGATAAAACTATAAGGAGCTATAAGATAAACATAATAGTAGTAAAACATAGTAATAATAAGTAAAGTAATAGTCTAATAAAAGGGTAATAATATTAATAACTATAAAGTAGATAAACTATCTAATAAATAGTCTTTAATAGAATAATAAGTAATTAGCTATTAAAATAAGCATAATAGCTAATAATAAAGATATATATTAATAGGTAAGAGAAGTAGATATTATCTTAAGGTATAATATAAGTATAAGTATATATTATTAAGTTAAGTAGTTAGTATAGTTAGTAAGGTTAGCTGTTATCTAAGCGTAGAAGAGCTATAAGTTAGAGACCTATAAGTTATAAGCAATTTACTTTTTTAATACTAACTAGCTAATAAGTAGCTAGTAGGGGCTTCTAAGAGCTAAACTAAAGCTAAAAGAAGGTTTACTATAGGTAATAAGCTATAAACTAATTATATAGGCTAAGGTAGGTATAGAGAGGTTTTAGAAGGTAGTATCTATCTATTATAGGAAATAAGTAAGTAGTATAGTAGCTAGGTTCTTAAAAGTCTATTATATAAAGCACTATTAGGATTATTTACTATAGCGTGAATAATATTCTAGACTTTATAGTATAAGGTAGGTAAAATAGTAGCTATAATTAGTAAAATAGAGACTAATAAAGTTATTAAGTAAATACTATAGCTATATAGTCTTAGTAAACTATAAAGCTTTAAGGTATCTATAGAGATAATATAGTTAAGTAAGTATACTTCCTAAGAGGATATAATAAAGCATATAGGCTTACTATGAGAATATTACCTAGAGTAAAGCGATAAAAGCTTAAGACTTAGTAACTAAGTAGGTATTATAAGCTTATTAGTTCTATTATAACTACTTATAAGCGATAAAGTTAAACTATAGGTAATCCTTAAGAGTAGAAGCTTAAAATATAGGGGTAACCTAAGGCTTTATTACTAATAGGGGTCTTATATAAGGATAGAATTAGGTAGTTAGGCTAGAGATAATAAGTAAAAGCACTAAATAGCTTAAGCTTATAACTAATTAATTAGATATATTAGTTATACTTATAAGAGTAATAAAAAGATAAGTATTATTAGCTATTAAGGTTTAGAGGTAGATAGTAATAGTTTAATATATATTTAAGGTAGGTAGATATAATAGTTAAGGTATTAATAACTAAGCTATAATAGCTTAGTTATTATAGCTATTAGAGGTAGTAGTTATAGAAGCTAGCATCTTATAGCTACTATAAGGGGCGTTATATAGTATAGACTATAGAGGTATAAATAAGAGGGAGCCTTAGCTGAAATTAAGATAGCAAGCAGTTATAAGCTAAAAGCTAGCAGGCATACTAAGCATAACTAGCAGCAGTATTAGCATAAAAGCTAAGGGAACACATATAGATAAGCAGGTATTATAAGGGGTAACATTAAATATATCTGCATAGTAAGGAGTATACTTATCACCTAGATAGTAGGCAAAGAACTAACGCTAATAAGGCGTAATAAGGAAGGCCTTAAGGGTTTTATCTTTAGTATTAAGGTTAAGGATTAAGACTATAATAGTATT